TTCTCTGACTTCTGCTGACTTCTCTTGACTTCTTGACTTCGCTGACTTCTCTTGACTTCTGCTGACTTCTCTTGACTCTCTGACTTTCTCTTGACTTCTCTTGACTTCTGCTGACTTCACTTGACTTCTGCTGACTTTCTTGACTTCTGCTGACTTCTGCTGACTTCTCTTGACTTCTGCTGATCTCTTGACTTCTCCTGGCTTTCTCTTGACTTCTGCTGACTTCTCTTGACTTCTGCTGACTTCTGCTGACTTCTCTTTGACTCTGCTGACTTCTCTGACTTCTCTTGACTTCTGCTGACTTCTCTTGACTTCTGCTGACTTCTCTTGACTTCTGCTGACTTTCTCTTGACTTCTCTTGACTTCTGCTGACTTCTCTTGACTTCTGCTGACCTTCTCTTGACTTCTCTGACTTCTCCTGGCTTTCTCTTGACTTCTGCTGACCCTCTTGAGTTCTGCTGACTTCTGCTGACTTCTCTTGACTTCTGCTGACTTTCTCTTGACTTCTCTTGACTTCTGCTGACCTTCTCTTGACTTCTGCTGACTTCTCTTGACTTCTCCTGGCTTTCTCTGACTTCTGCTGACCTCTCTTTGAGTTCTGCTGACCTCTCTTGAGTTCTGCTGACTTCTCTTGACTTCTGTTGACTTTCTTGACTTCTGCTGGCTTCTTTGACTTCTGTTGACTTTCTCTTGACTTCTCTTGACTTCTGCTGACTTCTCTTGACGTCTCCTGGCTTCTTTTGAGTTCTTGTGACTTCTCTTGACTTCTCCGGAGTACATTTAAGTTCTCTCGAGTTCTCCAGACTTCTTTGACTTCTCCTGAATTCTCTTGTCTTGTCCTGAGTTCTCCTGACTTCTCTCGAGTTCTCCTGACTTTTCCTAAGTTCTCTTTACTGTTCCTGAGTGTTCTCACGTTCTATATGTTCTGTTTCTAAGCGTCAGCGTCTCCGGCAGCTGATCCTGAGGCAGCAGCAGCAGAGAGTGCTCTGCGTCAGGAGAAAGGTCTGCAGGAAGCTGGTTCTGCTGTTCTCCCCGGACCCCCTTCTGGTTCTGCAGCACCACGTCTCTGGCCCCAGCCGGACCCCTCAGCTAACCCTCCTGCAGAGATGTTTGGAAGGCCCCCGCCTCCTTACCCCGGCACCATGAGGCCCGTTGGACCCGCTCAGGTTCCCCGGTTCCCTGGAGGGTTCCCTGGGGAGCAGCAGAGGGGCTTCACCCCCAGAGAGATGGGGGTCCGAGCCCGGTCATGAGGTGTGTTCAAATTCAAAATTCGGACTTTCTCCTCAAAATTCTGATTTTTTTTCTTCTAAATTCTGACTTTTTTCTTAAAATTCTGACTTTTTCTATTTTCCTCAAAATTCTGACTTTTACCTCAAATTCTGACTTTTTTCTCAAAATCTCAAAATGTTGACTTTCTGAAAACTTTAAATGTTAATAATCACTGTTCCCCGGCTTGAGCTTCAGCCTCAGGATCCATGTATTTATGATCCTCTCCAGAATGGAAGTAGTCATCACATACAGAGCATCAACTAGTTCCTGAACAGTGTCCTTCACATGCTGATATCAAGAGAGGGAGTTACACAGTCTCAAGATGGAGGAATAGAAAGCAGTATTCAATGTTTACCAGGCTTGGAATTTCATCATTTTAGGGGCAAGGCCATTTGGCCTTCCCATTCACATTTTTTTTAAGGGCACAAAGGCCACATGACAGGGCACAAAGGCCGTTTGGTTAAATTACGCTGGTCAATCAACATGACTGAAAAGTGTAGCACTAACGTCAACACCAGTCGTTTTACAAATGGCTGAATAGCAATAGTGTTTTTTTAACGTATACGTTAAGTTCAGCCATAAACCACATAAGTCAGTCATGTATTATATCAAAACCGCTTAGCAAGAAAAATACTAGATTCAAAGGTGACAGCTATCTGCTAGCTTGTAGAAGCAACACTAGATGTAGACCCCTTGAAGGGAAGACGTTAGCGCTATCCAAACTAGCTAGCTATCGCTAGTTTTCATGACAAAATGTAACGAGTCGACTTTAAATAGGCTAATACAATGGTAATTACCTATCAATAGTACTTTCTATAAACACGTAAATGTTAAGTCCTTTCAAATACTACCACATACTTCAGTTAAATCATATCAAAACAGCTTGGTCCGCTTGCTTACCTGTGCTTGTCTTGCTCCCGCGGCTAGAGGAGGCTGTCGGGCCCCTACAGGCATTTCTGACGAACAATCACAGCAGAGCAATCGCTCTGATCCACAGACACGGGACTATCCTACTGCGCGCACTAATATGACTTTACTAGCATTGTTTACACGGCATGTCTGACGGAACAATCACAGCAGAGCAATCGCTCTGATCCACAGACACGGGACTATCCTACTGCGCGCACTAGTATGACTTCACTAGCGTTGTTTACACTGGAACTTTTGACAGGGGCACAAAGGCCACTTTGGCCGTGAATTGCATTTTTTTTCACAGGGCATCACGGCCAAAGTGCGGGGCAACGACGGCCATGGCCGTCGTGGCCGTCATGAAATTCCCACCCTGATGTTTACTGTCTAACGCCTCCTCTCTCTCCTCCAGGTTTGGCGTTCCTCAAGGAGGTCCAGCAGGGCTCCAGGACTCCTTCCTGCGTCTTCCCCAGGGATCAGTGCCTGTCTCTGGGCTCGGCCTGATGGAGGGAGTCCCGGCCCAGATGAGGAGGCCGATGCCGGGGGATTACACCGGGATCCGGCCCCTCCCTGCTCCTGGAGCTCACCCTCACATGATGCAAGGTAAACGGCATTATAATGCAGCAATTAATCGATTAACAGAACAATAATTAGGAACTATAAAGGCCGTCCTTATTATCATATTCACTGATTAAAGTCCATCCATGGAGGACCTTTACACCCAGCGGCTCAGCAAGAAAAGCCCTCAGGATTATAAAGACCCCCATGCCGTCTGGCAGGCGGTAACCGCAGCTTCAGGACTAAACCCTCCAGACTCAGAGACAGTTTCAGGACTAAAACCACCAGACTTAGGGACAGTTTAGGACTAAAACCACCAGACTTAGGGGACAGTTTCAGGACTAAAACCACCAAACTCGGAGACACTTTCAGGACTAAACACCACCAGACCTCGGAGACAGTTTCAGGACTAAAACCACCAGACTCAGAGACAGTTTCAAAACCACCAGACTCAGGGACAGTTTCAGGACTAAAACCACCAGACTCAGGGACAGTTTCAGGACTAAAACCACCAGACTCAGAGACAGTTTCAGGACTAAAACCACCAGACTCAGAGACAGTTTCAGGACTAAAACCACCAGACTCAGGGACAGTTTCAGGACTAAAACCAACAGACTCAGGGACAGTTTCAGGACTAAAACCACCAGACTCAGGGACAGTTTCAGGTCTAAAACCACCAGACTCAGGGACAGTTTTTCAGGTATAAAACCACCAGACTCAGACTCCAGACAGTTTCAGGACTAAAACCACCAGACTCAGGGACAGTTTCAGGACTGAAACCACCAGGACTCAGACTCAGAGACAGTTTTCAGGACTAAAACCCACCAGACTCAGTGACAGTTTCAGGACTAAAACCACCAGACTCAGGACAGTTTCAGGACTAAAACCACCAGACTCAGAGACAGTTTCAGGTCTAAAACCACCAGACTCAGACTCAGAGACAGTTTCAGGACCTAAACCACCAGACTCAGGGACAGTTTCAGGACTAAAAACCACCAGACTCAGACTCAGAGACAGTTTCAGGTCTAAAACACACCAGACTCAGGGACAGTTTCAGGACTAAAACCACCAGACTTCAGACTCAGAGGACAGTTTCAGGTCTAAAACCACCAGACTCAGAGACAGTTTTCAGGACTAAAACCACCAGACTCAGACTCAGAGACAGTTTCAGGACTAAAACCACCAGACTCAGGGACAGTTTTCAGGACTAAAACCACCAGACTCAGGGACAGTTTCAGGACTAAAACCACAAACTCAGAGAACACTTTCAGGACTAAAACCACCAGACTCAGGGACAGTTTCAGGACTAAAACCACCAGACTCAGAGACAGTTTCAGGTCTAAAACCACCAGACTCAGGGACAGTTTCAGGTCTAAAACCACCAGACCAGACTCAGAGACAGTTTCAGGACTAAAACCACCAGACTCAGACTCAGAGACAGTTTCAGGACTAAAACCACCAGAACTCAGGACCTAGAGACAGTTTCAGGACTAAACCACAGACTCAGGGGACAGTGTTCAGGACTAAACCACCAGACTCAGGGACAGTTACAGGACTAAACCACCAGACTCAGAGACAGTTTCAGGACTAAACCACCAGACTCAGGGACAGTTTCAGTCTAAAACCCACCAGACTCAGGGACAGCATCAGGACTAAAACCACCAGACTCAGAGACAGTTTTAGGACTAAAACCCCAGACTCGGGACAGTTTCAGGACTAAAACCACCAGACTCAGAGACAGTTTCAGGAACTAAACCACCAGACTCAGGGACAGTTTCAGGTCTAAAACCACCAGACTCAGGGACAGTTTCAGGTCTAAAACCACCAGACTTAGGGACAGCATCAGGACTAAAACCAACCAGACTCAGGGACAGTTTCAGGTCTAAAACCACCAGACTCAGGGACAGTTTCAGGAATAAAACCACCAGACTCAGGGACAGTTTCAGGTCTAAAACCACCAGACTCAGAGACAGTTTCAGGACTAAAACCACCAGACTCAGGGACAGTTTCAGGTCTAAAACCACCAGACTCAGGGACAGTTTCAGGAATAAAACCACCAGACTCAGTTTCAGGTCTAAAACCACCAGACTCAGAGACAGTTTCAGGACTAAAACCACCAGACTCAGGGACAGTTTCAGGTCTAAAACCACCAGACTCAGACTCAGAGACAGTTTCAGGACTAAAACCACCAGATTAGGGGACAGTTTCAGGTCTAAAACCACCAGACTCAGGGACAGTTTCAGGTCTAAAACCACCAGACTCAGGGACAGTTTCAGGTCTAAAACCACCAGACTCAGGGACAGCATCAGGACTAAAACCACCAGACTCAGGGACAGTTTCAGGTCTAAAACCACCAGACTCAGGGACAGTTTCAGGAATAAAACCACCAGACTCAGGGACAGTTTCAGGTCTAAAACCACCAGACTCAGAGACAGTTTCAGGACTAAAACCACCAGACTCAGGGACAGTTTCAGGTCTAAAACCACCAGACTCAGGGACAGTTCAGGAATAAAACCACCAGACTCAGTTTTCAGGTCTAAAACCACCAGACTCAGAGACAGTTTCAGGACCTAAAACCACCAGACTCAGAGACAGTTTCAGGACTAAAACCACCAGAACTCAGGACAGTTTTCAGGTCTAAAACCACAGACTCAGGGACAGTTTCAGGACTAAAACCACCAGACTCAGAGAGACAGTTTCAGGACTAAAACCACCAGACTCAGGGACAGTTTTCAGGAATAAAACCACCAGACTCAGTTTCAGTCTAAAACCACCAGACTCAGAGACAGTTTCAGGACTAAAACCACCAGACTCAGGGACAGTTTCAGGTCTAAAAACCACCAGACTCAGGGACAGTTTTCAGGAATAAAACCACCAGACTCAGTTTCAGGTCTAAAACCACCAGACTCAGAGACAGTTTCAGGACTAAAACCACCAGACTCAGGGACAGTTTCAGGTCTAAAACCACCAGACTCAGACTCAGAGGACAGTTCAGGACTAAAACCACCAGATTAGGGGACAGTTTCAGGTCTAAAACCACCAGACTCAGGGACAGTTTCAGGTCTAAAACCACCAGACTCAGGGACAGTTTCAGGTCTAAAACCACCAGACTCAGGGACAGCATCAGGACTAAACCACCAGACTCAGGGACAGTTTCAGGTCTAAAACCACCAGACTCAGGGACAGTTTCAGGAATAAAACCACCAGACTCAGGGACAGTTTCAGGTCTAAAACAACCAGACTCAGAGACAGTTTCAGGACTAAACCACCAGACTCAGGGACAGTTTCAGGACTAAAACCACCAGACTCAGGGACAGTTTCAGGAATAAAACCACCAGACTCAGTTTCAGGTCTAAAACCACCAGACTCAGAGGACAGTTTCAGGACTAAAACCACCAGACTCAGAGACAGTTTCAGGACTAAAACCACCAGACTCAGGGACAGTTTCAGGTCTAAAACCACCAGACTCAGGGACAGTTTCAGGACTAAAACCACCAGACTCAGAGACAGTTTTCAGGACTAAAACCACCAGACTCAGGGACAGTTTCAGGAATAAAACCACCAGACTCAGTTTCAGGTCTAAAACCACCAGACTCAGAGACAGTTTCAGGTCTAAAACCACCAGACTCAGACTCAGAGACAGTTTCAGGACTAAAACCACCAGACTCAGTCTCAGAGACAGTTTCAGGACTAAAACCACCAGACTCAGGGACAGTTTCAGGACTAAAACCACCAGACTCAGGGACAGTTTCAGGACTAAAACCACCAGACTCAGAGACAGTTTCAGGACTAAAACCACCAGACTCAGAGACAGTTTCAGGACTAAAACCACCAGACTCAGGGACAGTTTCAGGTCTAAAACCACCAGACTCAGACTCAGAGACAGTTTCAGGACTAAAACCACCAGACTCAGACTCAGATTCAGTTTCAGGACTAAAACCACCAGACTCAGGGACAGTTTCAGGACTAAAACCACCAGACTCAGGGACAGTTTTCAGGACTAAAACCACCAGACTCAGAGACAGTTTCAGGACTAAAACCACCAGACTCAGGGACAGTTTGAGGTCTAAAACCACCAGACTCAGGGACAGTTTGAGGTCTAAAACCACCAGACTCAGGGACAGTTTCAGGTCTAAAACCACCAGACTCAGAGACAGTTTCAGGACTAAAACCACCAGAATCAGGGACAGTTTCAGGTCTAAAACCACCAGACTCAGGGACAGTTTCAGGAATAAAACCACCAGACTCAGTTTCAGGTCTAAAACCACCAGACTCAGAGACAGTTTCAGGACTAAAACCACCAGACTTAGGGACAGTTTCAGGACTAAAACCACCAGACTCAGGGACAGTTTCAGGACTAAAACCACCAGACTCAGGACTAAAACCTCCAGACTCAGGGACAGTTTCAGGACTAAAACCTCCAGACTCAGAGACAGTTTCATCCCAAAGGCCATAAGACTATTAAACACCTGTGCTCTGTTAAGTGCCCCCAGAAACATTAATCTGTTAGTCATCTTGCAACCTACTTACTTATGTAAATAGTCACCGCAATAAACCGTATTTAATCTTGTCTTAATGTACATCATTTGATTTAATATTCTGTTCTTGTACATATCATATTCTATTGACATGTATATAGACTTTTTGCACTATTTTGTATTTTTTTTTGTTGTATTTTATTATATATGTTGCATTATTGGAGGAGCTCAGGTCAGAAGAATTTCATTGCCATTTCTACACTGTGGCTGCTGAGCATCTGATGATAAAACCGTTGAATTTAATTTCCCCCTCCTCCCCCCAGGTGTCCAGCAGCCTTCCTCCCGCGCTCCCTCCCCCTGCAGCAGCACAGCATCATGGGACAGCCGTACATCGAGCTCCGTCACCAGGCTCCAGAGCACCGTTTGAGGCTGAACTTCCCCCAGCCTGAGACCCATATTCTGCCCCCCAGAGACCCTCATCCTTCCCCCCTCAGACCCATGGGCCAGCAGGTGACTCTGGAGCATCTGAACCAGCAGCAGCAGCATCAACAGAGCCTGGAGAACCTTGAGGAACACCTGGAGGACTCGGCTGTGAAAGACCTGGAAGACGTGGAGGTGAAAGACCTGGTGGACCTGAACCTGAACCTGGACCCTGAAGATGGTACGCTTTTATTTGAATGAGAATACAATAAATATTTATAAACTATTAAGTTCTGCTGAGTTATATTGACATCTCCTGTGTTCTGCTGAAGTTCTCCGGAGTTCTCTTGAGTCCTGTCGAGTTCTGTTGAGTCCTGTCCAGTTCTCTAGAGTCCTGTTGAGTTCTCTTGAGTCCTGTTGAGTTCTCTTGAGTCCTGTTGAGTTCTCTAGAGTCCTGTTGAGTTCTCTAGAGTCCTGTTGAGTTCTCTTGAGTCCTGTTGAGTTATCTTGAGTCTTGTTGAGCTCTCTTGAGTCCTGTTGAGTTCTCCGGAGTTATTTTGAGTCCTTTCAAGTTCTCTTGAGTCCTGTTGAGTTCTCTTGAGTCCTGTTGAGTTCTCTTGAGTCCTGTTGAGTCCTCTTGAGTCCTGTCGAGTTCTCTTGAGTACTCTTGAGTCATGTTGAGTCCTGTTGAGTTCTCTTGAGTTCTCTTGAATTCTCTTGACTTTTCCTACTACACTGCAAACTATCTGTTTTAATTCTAATGAGGTCACTTCCTGCCTCCTGTCTCAGGTAAAGAGGACCTGGATCTGGGAACCAACGACCTCCACCTGGACGACTTCCTGTTGTCAGGGAAGTTCGACCTGATCGCCTACGCCGACCCGGAGCTGAACCTGGAGGACAAGAAGGACATGTTCAACGAGGAGCTGGACCTCGGGGAGCAGGTGGAGGAGGCGGGGGACAGGAAGTCGGAACTGGCTCAGGTGAAACAGGAAGTTCTGGACGGAGCCCAGACTGAAACAGGATGTGGATCTGGATCAGGATCAGGGGATCTACCGGCTTTCCAGACCCAGGAACAGGCTCTGTCAGCAGGCATGGCTCCTAGGGTTCAGACCCCCATGGCTGGAGGTAAGAAACGTTCTTTTTGCAAATTTCCAAATGTTGTTTCTGTGGAGGAAATTCTTAAGAGAAACTGATGAATAATCCATGGACCATTTTTGACCAAGTTTTATTGTTATATTTAATAAAGGAATAAAGAAAGTCAATATACAATTTAAATCAATCTCAAATGCAGGAACAGAGCAGCTTCATCCTCAGAGGATAACATGGCTTTGCAGCTTACAGAAACATTACATATTAGAGAGAAAATATCCAACTGGTCCCACCCTTAAATCCTCTTAGGCATCATCTAAACATCCCATCATTAAACCCTCCAGTCCTTAAACATTTGCTAATCCACCTTTTGCCCTTCCTGAAAAGTAAACCCTAAACATATGTCTCTGTTAAACACATATAGGATTCAAAATACTATTTAAACGAGTAAAAGGCAATCAGAGTACAAGACATAATCTATATATTATTTAAATGATTATATGAACATTTGACACGACAGTTTCTACATCTAAACGTTTCCCTTCCCTGCTTCAGCTCCGCGGCCCGTCTTCCAGCAGAGACCGTTTGGACCCCCTCCCTCGACTCTCTTTCCCCCCCAGAACCAGCTCCCTCACCCGGGCACCTCCACCCAGAACCAGGGCCCCTTCCTCCAGAACCAGATCCAAATCCAGATCCAGAACCAGATCGAGACACAGATCGCGGACCAGATCCAGAACCAGCTCCAGTTGCAGGATCTGGAGCAGAGGCACCTCCTCCTTCAGGACCAGCCTCTCCTCCTGCAGGACCTTCTGGACCAGGAGCGCCAGGAGCAGCAGCAGCAGAAACAGATGCAGGCGCTGATCCGACAGAGGGGCCCCAACGACCCAGGGGCCCCCCCTATAGGTAAGACCAGAACCAGGACAGCGCCACATACAAAAATAAATAGATATACAACTTTTTTTTCTTCCTCTGCTTTTCTTACTGCTATCACTTATGTTGTGTGCTTTTACTCGTTCAAATTAGTTTCTTCAAATGTATAGCATCTATGGTCTTCTGGGATCGATTTTGTAATCTTTTTTCATGATCATGATTTTGTGTAAATGAGGTCTTTTTGTCCATACATGTAAAAAAGGAGAGTAAAATCTCTGGTTTACAGTAAGTGGGAATAAAGTTGCCTTAAAAGGTGAACACAAAAAAAATCATCGTGCAAAACCAATTCAGAAATAATTGACAATATCAAAACGTTAAAAACAGCAGACAAAACTATTTTTTTAAATAAGAAAAAACAACAATAAAACAGGTATAGTCATAAATAATAACAATTCAAGGTGGGGGAGGTAATTCACTTCAGATACACCTTTTGTTATTTTACATGGAATGCTCTCAACATCCCGATAGCAATGAATATCTGAAGTGCTTTGACAATAAATACATAAAGAAATATAATCTGTGGAAGCCGTGGCGCTGTTAAGGGACGGGTGGCGCAGTGGTCTGTGCATCCGATCATCAGATCAAGGGAGTGCTGGGGAACTCCAGTTCGAAACCCGCTCCTGCCGCCACTGCGTCAGGCCGTTGTGTCCTTGGGCAAGACACTTCACCTGGATTTGCTCCTGTGGGTATTGTCCACAGTACATGTATAATACCAATGTGTACTTGTAAAAGCGCCTCGATGACTTCGAGGCGTGAAGATGGACGGTGTGGCGCAGTGCGCAGTGCGCTGTGCAATGATCATCAGATCAGCTGCGTCTGTAAAGCCGGTGTGTCCTTGGGCAAGACACTTCACCTGAACTTGCTCCTGTGGGTATTGTCCACAGTGACCATTGCATGTATAAAAAATATGTGTGTAATGTGTATTTGTAAAGCGCTTTGAGCATCTGGAAAAGCGCTATAATAAATATAAGGAATTATTATTAAAAAGCACGACCAATCATCTGAGCCGGCTAAAGTAACTGGATGGCCTACCTGCCTGTCAGCCGATCTGTGCACAAACTTATCTCGTGCCCTCATTGGTCATGTGCGCGTTCGTGTGTGTTGGAGGAGGGGCTCTGTGAGGAAGTAGGAGGAAGGAGCAGATTATTTTCAGCTGCGTACTAGGGTGGTCCTTAAAATTGAAAGTCTCAGCTCCATCCCCCAGAATTCATTCTATTAGTCAAGAAAACTCTCCTGGTGAATGTTGTCCTCAATCTGACAGCATTTACCCCCCCTCATCGACCTGGAAGTGTAGCCTCAGTTGCAGCTGCTGGTGTGGCAGCCCAGCTCGATGAGGGGGGGGTACATGCTGTCAGATTGAGGACAACATTCACCAGGACAGTTTTCTTGACTATCTTAATGAATTCCGGTGGTTGTAGCTTAAAATAAATTAATTCTAAAATGTACATGGCACTAAGGACCACCCTACTGCGTACTTTCAGATTCTAGCGCACTCGAGCTGGTTTCTCCATTCTTACCTACCCTTAAGGGGAGAAAAGAATAAACAAATGAATCAAGATGACATGGTGAGTTTAGGCGACTTGACCTTGATCATATTGTATGAAGTGTATACTACACACTGCATTATTGTAGTAGCATCCATCTCTTTAAAAATGTCGGTTTTCTGAAGCCCTAAGGCATTTGTGATTTTCTCCATTCGTGTGCTTTTAATTTGAAAGGACTCGTGTTTCTCTCTCTGTGTTTCCTGCAGACTTCGACTCGATCTCAGACCCCATCATGAAGGCAAAGATGGTGGCTCTGAAGGGAATCAACAAGGTGATGACGCAGAGCAGCCTGGGACTCAACCCCATGGGCATCAACAGGTACGCATATTAGTTACTTAAAGAGTGAAGGCCCGGACACACCAATCCGACACCAAAGAACTGACACAGACGGACCCGACTGTGGCGTCGCCTTGCGTCTCTGCGTCTCGGCCGTGTCGCACTGGAACACACCGCAAAGACTCCAAGCGACGGCCAAGAAGCGCGTACGAACTGCGCATGCGTGAGTGGCAATAACTCTCCTTACCAGCAGGCGGCGGTAGTGTGTATTCGTCATTCAAAAGAGGCAACAACCAGAAGACAGACTGCGTGATAACCGAGAGAAGAAGAACAGACTGCGTGATATAAACAAACAACAGATAGCGTGCGTTCCATGTTCCCTCTACAGCGAGAAGCTCACGGGGCTTTCCCGAACCTGAGTCGAGAGCTGGAGTTAAATCAAATCTCAGAATTGCCTTCTTAATAGTTTATTTGGGTCCCTCTCTTCAGTTTCGCTTCTCATGCACTGATTCGCTAGCTGAACAGCCAATCAGAGTGATTTATTTGGCCGACTGCGCCGAAAAGGTGCGGACACACCAATCCGAATAGGGCGTGTCGACGCCCACCAGCGCCAATAATCGGGTTAGTGTGTCCGTAGCTTTTCACATGTATACAATCATAGACAATACAATGTTCTCTCTAACGGCCCGTCCACACACAGGCATGAAAAAAATCTTTCAACGCTTCGCCCATTCACTTGAATGGGGTGACGTAGAAGATTTAGAATCTTCGCCGAACTGCATTGTGGGGAGCGGAGCATGGCTTTGCAAGCATCGTGAGTATCAAAAGTTGAGCAATGTTCAACTTTTGATGCTTTCGAAGCTGGCATCAGCCAATCAAATCCCGTTTATGCAAATCCCGCCAGTACAAGCGCTAGCCAATCAAACCGCGTGCAAACTGGGAGAGCCAGACCGCAGTTCATTTCCTCATATTCCAAACGAGAAATTACGGTAGCAAATCACCCGGTTCTTTCCGACCAGAACTATTTACCGGGATACAAACCGGAGGAAGCAGGCATGGAGGGAGGAGGCAGAGACAGTGGAGGAAACTGGTATGGTTTCACCTGTTTGGGGATTTTATATCCAGTTTACTTCGTTTTAACATTGCTATTGCTTTGTATGTCGGAGGCGGGAGATTCATGTGATTGGTTGTTGGTCGCGTTGCTCGCAAAAAATCGCCAAGCTTCAGACACGCCCAGCATCAAGATTTTTCAAGATTTTGTTCATGCCTGTGTGTGGACGGGCCGTGAGCCTTCTGTAGTTTACAGTGAGATCTGAAGAAATACATAAAAATCCCTTCTAGACAAATGATGGTCGAAATTAAAGAGACCCGATGCTGCGTTTTGGGGTTTCCCTTTCCTGTAGTTTTAACATAAAGTTTAAAAAGTGACATCACTATGTAACACTCGCGCTCCTATTGGCTAGCGCTCCAACACATTGTACATAAGGGGGCGGGAAATCTCTTAGCCATTGTCCAATCACAACAGAGCTGCCCAGTGTCACTGCATCTGCTTCTCCTGTTGACATAAATGTCTCTCCGTGCACTTTAATAGATGCAAAATGTATACACCTTTTTCTGTATCTTAATTATTGAATGTGTGTGTGTGTGTGTGTCAGGTTCCAGCAGGCTCCAGTACCCCCGGTTGCTCCGGTGGTCCCTGTGGCCCCTGTGGCCCCGGGTCCTGAGGCGCCCCCTCCACACATGGTGCTGCAGGTGAGTTACAGCAGATATAAAGTGTGTTTACTTGGGTTGCGGTCGAATAGTCCGTTTCTCTTAGGAACCTTCCTAACGGAGTGAAATGACCCGGTGTAGGTACCATATCTGCTCGGGGTACCATATCTACTCGGGGTACCATATCTGCTCGGGGTACCATATCTACTCGGGGTACCATATCTGCTCGGGGTACCATATCTGCTCGGGGTACCATATCTACTCGGGGTACCATATCTGCTCGGGGTACCATATCTACTCGGGGTACCATATCTGCTCGGGGTACCATATCTGCTCGGGGTACCATATCTGCTCGGGTGTATTTCCGTCATATCCGTTATATTGTACGGCAACTCACCTCCCTCTGCTCCCAGCGCTCTGCTCCCAGCGCTCTGCTCCCAGCGCTCTGCTCCCAGCGCTCTGCTGCCACACACCGGCCGTCTGCGGAACTGCAGCCGGAGGAACTCGGGACAGCTTGTTATGTGTGGGGTGCTATGTCCCATGTACTTGTGCACATAAATAATGTTTCTAATTATTTACAATTAAAATATATATATATTCTGCGTTACTTTAGCCAACACTTTTATAAGGCCACTAGATTAGATAATTACGAAATGTGTAGATAGAATACATATCTTTCAGGTTGTTATTTTGTCATTATGTTATATGTTATATTTTATTTACCTTTTAGTATTTTTATATAGTATCTGAACTTTGGAGAGGAGTTGGGAGACACACGACACATCAAATCACATCTACAGATCAAGACGAAGCGAATGGAAGTACTCCCATACTCCTAGCGCGAAAATGTTTGTGAAAACATGTGCAAAGTCTCTGAAAATCCTAAAAATAAGCTCATATTTGAATTCCCCATAAAAAAACACAAGTCCCTCAGTGGCAGCCATGTTTGAATTCTCTAGAATGAAAGGAAAGGAGGTTTCAAACTTCCTTTATAACCTCCTTTAGTTTAGGAACCACTGGACCTCCCTCACCGAAAGGAGAGGAGAAAATGCTGCCCCACAATGCATTGCAGCCGCAGCATTTGCCGTCACTCAACAGTCGGCCGTTCACGGAAACAACCGATTATGACCGAGAAATGATATCATGAAAGTTACGGTGCTTATTAAACTTTTTAAAACGTATGTGGTAAGTTGCCAAAGTGCTTTGTTCTGAACGTTCATCAGTATTATAATCAAAGAGAGAAATATGAACGTTAGTTTTTACTGAAATGATCAAATAAAGTCAACATCTCAGTCTTTACTGAGCTGTGGGGTTTGTTCAACTTTTAAAAGATGTTTGAATGGTGATATACACAGTGATAGATGTTAAGGACTAACGTTTATAATAAATACATCTGTATTGATTTAAGATCTTTCCATCAATCATACGTATTGGGATCATTTGTATTAATGTGGACCGGAGGGAGAGGGTGACGAGCAGAAGTTTCACTTTCCTTTTTTATTTCAATTCCAACTTTGGTCCTGAAGAATATGTTTCTCTGTTGTCCACGTTCATAAAGCATAAAGCAACAGCATCACGGCCCCTACACACGGCGGCGTGCGTTGTCGCTTGCCGGTGGGGGGGGCTGAAACTCGACCAACAACCAATCACATGAATCTCCCGCCCCTGACACACAAGCACGCGGTTTGATTGGCTAGAGCTTGTACTGGCATATGATTCGATTGGCTGACGCGCCCGTCGAGGCGTCAAAAGTAGAACATTGCTCTACTTTTGCAGCGAGCACCGCGAGAGAAGCTTCGCTTTACTCCCACAATGCAGTTCGGCGAATTGTGACGTCACCCCATTCAAAGTGAATGGGCAGAAGCGTTGAAGCGGCAACGCACGCCGCCGTGTGTAGGGGCCTTCAAAGCACGGTGCAGAGTCTCTAGATCAGTGGTTCTCAACTGGTGGGTCGCGACCCACAAGTGAGTCGCAGATGTGTGAGTGAAGAAAAAAATGTTTTTAAAAAAGAAATGTTTTTTTTTTTGGGGGGAAAAAAGTCAAACTTTTATTTTGAAGGCCCGATTTCCTAACGCTGTGCATGCAGTGGGCGTTGGACTGGAAGTACCGGAGACCATGAACGGTTTTGAAAACTTCTGTCACGTAGTGATCATCTTCTCAATAAGTCTTCTGGCCAATCAGAATCAAGAGTGTTGCCGGAAGTCCCCACGGAGAATAGCTTTGCGGTAGAACTCTTCTTTATACATCCATGGGTACAACTTCAGATAAAAATTAACACATAATGAACTATGACCCCCGGTCTGATGACTGACAGGTCACAGAACAATGGGGGCTATCTACCCTTACCCACCATTTAAAGTAAGTCACAGACTCTCTCCTCTTTGCTCTTCTCTCTGTGAGGAGCAGCAAGATGTCAGAACAAAGTGAAACACAAACAATGGCATAAAATATTATTAATATGTCGGGTAGTAATAGATTTATTTATTCTCTTCTCAGTGTACCAGAATGGGTAGTTTATATGTTAGTATTTCTAAAAATCTCCTGGGGGAGAATCCCCCCCCCTGCTGGGGTTGGGTTTTCAGCATGTGGGCCTTTTTATGTTATGCAGTTCAGCTTTGATTCCATCATCTCATTAAACCTTTTTAAAAGCATACTTTAGTTCTGTGAAGGGATATCAGGGATATGCACTGTACTTCACTTTCATTCATATTGTTTGCTGAAAAGAGTATATTTTACTGCACGATTTTTTGTTGAATAGATTTGAGTGCTTCAAAATTTCGGGTCGCGATCTATTGACTAAGGAAAAAGTGGGTCCCGAGGTCTGACCAGTTGAGAACCACTGCTCTAGATGAGTCCCTCGTTCTTATTGAACATCCATGTTGTAGTCCGCTGTATAGAAAACTGTAGTTTCCATCGTTTCCCCACAGCAGCAGACGCACAGTCATGAGGGATAGACGATGGGGATAGACGATAGGGATAGACGATAGGGATAGACGATGGGGATAGACAATGGGATAGACGATGGGGATAGACGATGGGGATAGACGATGGGGATAGACGATGGAGATAGGCGATGGGGATAGACGATGGGGATAGACGATGGGGATAGACGATAGGGATAGACGATGGAGATAGGCGATGGGGATAGACGATGGGGATAGGCGATGGGGATAGACGATGGGGATAGACGATGGGAATAGACGATGGAGATAGGCGATAGGGATAGACGATGGGGATAGGCGATGGGGATAGGCGATGGGGATAGACGATGGGGATAGACGATGGGGATAGGCGATAGGGATAGGCGATAGGGATAGACGATGGGGATAGACGATGGAGATAGGCGATAGGGATAGACGATGGGGATAGACGATGGGGATAGACGATGGGGATAGACGATGATTTTTGGACTATTCGACTGCAGCCTAACTATTTAAGATGCAAAGTGCTTCCTGGTTGTAAAGTGAGTTCAGGTAAACAGGAAGTGTGTGTTTCCTCTTCCTGTCAGGACGGGAAGCCGCCCCCCCGGCTGGTGAGACCGAACCCCCCCAACTTCAGCCCGGGCTTCAGCAGTGAGTGCATTCATCACAACCTTTATTTAGAGTGGCCCAGACCTTCGTATATTTTTCTGTATGTGGTCCTTGGTGAAAAGAGTTTGGACACCCCTGCGTTATGTTGTATTTCAGACGAGGCTCAGAGACGGCAGTACGAGGAGTGGCTCGGGGAGACGCAGCGCCTCCTGCAGATGCAACAGCGCCTCCTGGAGGAGAAGATGGCGGCGCACAGGAAGACCAAGAAGTCTCTGTCGGCCAAACAGAGGACGGCCAGGAAGGCAGGAAGAGAACTCACCGAGGAGGACGCCAACACTATGAGGAGCGTCAGCGAACAGCAGGGGGCGCTGCAGAAACAGCTGGAGCAGGTAGAAAATAACTGTGACTCAGCAGAAACACTGACTCAGCAGAAACGGCTGATTTGACCTGAGTGTGTTTTTTGTTGTTGTGTGTTTTTAGATCCGTAAGCAGCAGAAAGATCACTCTGAGTTGATCGAGGACTACAGGAGTAAAAACCAGAGAGCCGGCTGCCCCCCACAGACGCCCCTGCTGCCCCTGCCAGGAAACCCCGTACAAACACTCAGACCAAACACCCCTGGTTGGACCCCGGGGGGCGTCGGGGCTTCGGGGGTTTTAGGGCAGAGAATGCCTCTTATTCTGTCAAATCAGATGCCCCCTCAGATGCCTCCTCAAATGCCTCCTCAGATGCCCAATCAGATGCCCCCTCAAAGGCCTGCTCAGATGCTTCCTCAGATGCCCAATCAGATGCCTCCTCAAATGCCCAATCAGATGCCCCCTCAGATGCCCAATCAGATGCCCAATCAGATGCCCCCTCAACGGCCTCCTCAGATGCCTCCTCAGATGCCCCCTCAGATGCCCAATCAGATGCCCCCTCAACGGCCTCCTCAGATGCCCCCTCAGATGCCCAATCAGATGCCCCCTCAACGGCCTCCTCAGATGCCTCCTCAGATGCCCCCTCAGATGCCCAATCAGATGCCTCCTCAGATGCCTCCTCAGATGCCCCCTCAAAGGCCTCCTCAGATGCCTCCTCAGATGCCCCCTCAAATGCCCCCTCAAATGCCTCCTCAGATGCCCAATCAGATGCCTACTCAGATGCCCAATCAGATGCCTCCTCAGATGCCTACTCAGATGCCCAATCAGATGCCTACTCAGATGCCTCCTCAGATGCCTCCTCAGGTGCCTCCTCAGATGCCTCCCTCCCAGCCTAAAATCCCCTCAGTAACACAGACTCCTCCCATCACTGCAGGGCCACGGGGTCCCCCACCCGCAGCAGCAGGGGCCAATGGAGCTTCTCAGGTAACGCACCTGTAGTGAAACTTGAAATGTAATACAAACAACTAGGGATCGACCGATATGGCTTTTTCAAGGCCGATACCGATTATTAGTAATCAAGGATAACCGATATTTGGAACCGATATACATTTGCAGTAAAATCAGAAAATCTTGGTGTCAAAATGTAGAATAACACAACTTCTATGAAATGCCTTTTTATGTTTAATGAACTTTTCAACATCTTAAAACTGGTTTCCTCTCTGTGACCCTGAGTAAAGTAAATGAAGTAAAAATAAAACTGGTTCTGAACTTCTGATATTTGAGTCTCACTCATTTAGTAGTCCCAATTCAGCAGCACCAGATTGTGGTGCAGAGTTGCTGCGAGGCTCCACTAGCAGCCGTCCCAGCGCGTCACAACTGATAGAATTGGATCAGAAGATCTTGGTGTTTTTGCAACTTCGGCATAGGGGGTTGGGATGTTTATTGAACTTCAGCTTTCAACTGATTTACCTTCGAAACACCGCTTAATGCTGCTGCTTGCCTCTGTCTTCGCACCTGCCTGTAATCTGAGAAGGTCCCGCCTCTCTGGCTGGCTGCAGCCCGGAAAATCTTCAGTGTTGATTGACACTTCAGTAATAGCCTATCAGATAGCGCTGTGGGCGGGACTTTGCTCGTGATCAGTGGTGGCTGCAGGCAGAGAAACGGCCGCATCAGAGCCAAAGTCGTATCGGCAATTTGATTAAAAAAAGGCCGATACCGATAATCTGTAAAATGCGGAATATCAGCCTCGATAATCGGTCGACCCCTACAAACAACAATAGCAAGAGATTAGACTATTAAGAAATACAAATCTATAAATATCTCCAACAGGTGTTAATGTCATGTTTTCTGAACGCTGTGTTTTTTGCAGGTGAACTTTGACGACAACAATCCGTTCAGTGAAGGCTTTCAGGAGAGAGAGAGGAGAGAGAGACTGAGAGAGCAACAGGAGAGACAGAGAGTGCAGCTGATGCAGGAGGTGAGACACACACACACACACACTGATGAAACTGAAACACACACACACACTGATGAAACTGAAACACACACACACACTGATGAAACTGAAACACACACACACACACTGATGAAACTGAAACACACACACACACTGATGAAACTGAAACACACACACACACTGATGAAACTGAAACACACACACACACACTGATGAAACTGAAACACACACACACACACTGATGAAACTGAAACACACACACACACACACTGATGAAACTGAAACACACACACACACACACTGATGAAACTGAAACACACACACACACACTGATGAAACTGAAACACACACACACACTCGGATGAAACTGAAACACACACACACACACTCGGATGAAACTGAAACACACACACACACACAGATGAAACTGAAACACACACACATACACACACACACTGATGAAACTGAAACACACACACACACACACTGATGAAACTGAAACACACACACACACACACTGATGAAACTGAAACACACACACACACACACACTGATGAAACTGAAACACACACACACACACATACTGATGAAACTGAAACACACACACACACACACTGATGAAACTGAAACACACACACACACACTGATGAAACTGAAACACACATGACACACACACTGAGAAAACTGTGAAACACACACACACACAAAAACACAGTCATGATCATAGTGTATAAAGAGATGACATCACAATAAGGAACCCTCATATTGCAGAGTTTGAGGATTAATAAAGTGTTAATAACTAATTACCCCGCTGCCCCCTCGTCAGGTGGAGCGCCACCGGGCCATGCAGCAGAGACTGGAGCAGGAGCAGCAAGGCATGCTGGGAGTTGGAGTCCCTTCAGGTCCTCGGGGGGGCGAGGGCAGTCTCTCTCAGATGCCCTTCTTCAGCTCAGAGTTACCGCAGGACTTCCTGCAGTCGCCCCCCCCCTGCAGACCCCAGCTGTTCCCCCCCCCCTCCTCCTCCATGATGTCACTTTACTCTGATGTTCTGCCCGACGACAGGCAGAAAAAAAGAAGCCGCACCCCTTTGTCTTCTGATGACATCACAGCCCCGCCCACTCCCGCCAGGTCCGACACTTCCTGCTCCACGCCCCCTCGAGCCAGCCTGGACCAATCGGAGTTCAGCTTCTCTGTAAGCCCCGCCCTATCTGGGCTCGCCCCCTCCTCAGAGCTGGAGAGGCAGCTGTCCGTCACCCAGAGAGGCCCCGCCCCTTTAGTTCGCATGGAGGTCAAGGTGAGGTCATATCCCCGTTATTTAAATTAAATTACATATTTTTTATCTTAACATTACAACGGTTTTTTCTACTTAAGCTGTATGAAATGGAAATATTAATCTCTATGTTTCTCCCCCTGCAGCAGGAGCGAGTGGAGGGAGGATCTTGTGGGGGGGGAGTGATAAAGATGGAGGACTGTGGGGGGGGGGATGGGTTTTTCTCCCCCTCTCCCCTCCATGGTGGGGGAGATGGAGGTAAAGAGCTGCTCCGTCACCTGCTGAAAGAAAAGACCTCCCCCGAAACCCTCCAATCACCAGGGGCCGCCAGACGCCTGCCGTCCAATGACAGCGTCCGATCTGAGGAGGAGGAGGGACCAGGGATGCATGGCAACGTGGTGAGGAGCATCGAGAGTTCATAGTTAAACATATTAATACAATGATCTTTAAAAATGCTAATAAATAAATAATACATATGGATAAATAATAATTAATAAATATCAACAAATAAATAGGTAATAATATAATTAATAATAACATATATCAAATACATAATTTCAATAATTACTAATATTAATAAATAAATCTATATATAATATAATAATAATGTAATAATACAAATAATAATTAAAGATACTAGTAAATAAATTCTAATAAAAAGATCAATTAGAATTATTAATAAAATAATACAAATAATGGTTAAATATTTTTATAGATACATCATTAAAATAATTATTAATATTAATAAATACATAAATAATTATAATAATGATAAAAAAGCTAAATATGTTAATTAATGAATAAAAACAATTCTGTGAAGCGACCTTGGGTCCCCTGAAAGGCGCTATATAAATCTAAGTTATTATTATTTATTATTATCAACCCCTGTGTGTTCCTGCAGATGGACTCCCCCGACTCTCTGGACCCCTCCGGCAGGAAGAAGCCCCCCCGCTGTAAGCGACTCGCCCGACCAGAGAAAGGACCTCCGAAAAACAAGAGGAGGAAGAAAGAAGAGGAGCTGCTCTCCTCCTCATCGTCCTCCGAGCTGGTGGGGACTCACCTGCGACAGGTAGAGGAGATACTAGATCATATTGTTACTGAGAAACTATTCAGAATCAGAACCAGGTTTATCACCAGGTAGGTTGACACATACGAGGAATGTGACTTGGTGTTTTGGTGCATACATGAAAACAGTGGCGAGCCGTGACTTTTATACCTAGGCCCTCTGTCCGCAAAAATAAAGCCCACCCATTTAGAGGGCGGTTATGATTGGTCAATTGTGCTGTCATCTGACATCACTCTCTCGTTCAGTTACTAGCGGCCCTCTGTGAATTCACAGCTGGACCACCAACCAGCTCCTGTCTTCACCTCGCAGAGACGAGCTTCTTTCATTTAACCCTTCACATTCCAACAGAAACTGAACAGGCAGATTCAAAGGATTTATTTCTTTGGAAATGTTATTTTAAATACAATTAAATCAAGTTATTTTTGGTAAAACTAATGAAAAGAAGGCCTGGACCCTAGAGGGCCTAGACCCTAGAGGGCCTGGACCCTAGAGGGCCTAGACCCTAGAGGGCCTGGACCCTAGAGGGCCTGGACCCTAGAGGGCCTGGACCCTAGAAGGCCTGGACCCTAGAAGGCCTGGACCCTAGAAGGCCTGGACCCGAGAGGGCCTGGACCCGAGAGGGCCTGGACCCGAGAGGGCCTGGACCCTAGAGGGCCTGGACCCTAGAGAGCCTGGACCCTAGAGGGCCTGGACCCTAGAGGGCCTGGACCCTAGAGAGCCTGGACCCTAGAGGGCCTGGACCCTAGAGGGCCTGGACCCTAGAGAGCCTGGACCCTAGAGGGCCTGGACCCTAGAGGGCCTGGACCCTAGAGAGCCTGGACCCTAGAGGGCCTGGACCCTAGAGGGCCTGGACCCTAGAGAGCCTGGACCCTAGAGGGCCTGGACCCTAGAGGGCCTGGACCCTAGAGGGCCTGGACCCTAGAGAGCCTGGACCCTAGAGAGCCTGGACCCTAGAGGGCCTGGACCCTAGAGAGGCAAGGCAAGGCAAGTTTATTTATATATCACTTTTCAACACAAGGCAATTCAAAGTGCTTTACAAAAAACAAAAGACATTAAGAAAATGGCATTTAAAATCAGTCATTAAAAAGAAAAGATAATAAAATAAACATTAAAAGAAAAAATACATGGATAAAAGTTACAGTGCAGTTTAAGATGTGAATAGACCCTAGAGGGCCTGGACCCTAGAGGACCTGGACCCTAGAGGGCCTGGACCCTAGAGGACCTGGACCCTAGAGGACCTGGACCCTAGAGGACCTGGACCCTAGAGGGCCTGGAAAACACAGATAGAAAACTATTATATCATTAAAACAAATATATTAAGAAATATAGTAAGTCAAAGCAGAATATACATTGAATAGGATTGAAAAATATGTGATATTTCTTTTTTGTATTCAGTCTACACATACAGTGGGGCAAAAAGGTATTTAGTCAGCCACCAATTGTGCAAGTTTTCCCACTTAAAAAGATGAGAGGTCTGTAATGTTCATCCTCACCTCAACTATGAGACAGGATGGGGGAAAGAATCCAGGAAATCACATTGTCTGATTTCTAAAGAATTGATTTTTAAATGATGGTGGAAAATAAGTATTTGGTCAATAACAAAAGTTCATCTCAATACTTTGTTATATACCCTTTGTTGGCAATGACAGAGGTCAAAGGTTTCCTGTAAGTCTTCACAAGGTGTTCACACACTGTTGCTGGTATGTTGGCCCATTCCTCCATGCAGATCTCCTCTAGAGCAGTGATGTTTTGGGGCTGTCGCTGGGCAACACAGACTTTCAACTCCCTCCAAAGACTTTCTATGGGGTTGAGATCTGGAGACTGGCTAGGCCACTCCAGGACCTTGAAATGCTTCTTACGAAGCCACTCCTTCGTTGCCCGGGCGGTGTGTTTGGGATCATTGTCATGCTGAAAGACCCAGCCACGTTTCATCTCCAATGCCCTTGCTGATGGAAGGAGGTTGTCACTCAAAATCTCACGATACATGGCCCCATTCGTTCTTTCCTTTACACGGATCAGTGGTCCTGGTCCCTTTGCAGAGAACCAGCCCCAAAGCTTGATGTTTCCACCCCCATGTTTCACAGTAGGTGTTCTTTGGATGCAGCTCAGCATTCTTTCTCCTCCAAACACGTCTAGTTGAGTTTTTACCAAAAAGTTCTATTTTGGTTTCATCTGACCATATGACATTCTCCCAATCCTCTTCTGGATCATCTAAATGCTCTCTAGCAAACTTCAGACGGGCCTGGACATGTACTGGCTTAAGCAGAGGGACACGTCTGGCACTGCAGGATCTGAGTCCCTGGCGGCGTAGTGTGTTACTGATGGTAGCCTTTGTTACTTTGGTCCCAGCTCTCTGCAGGTCATTGACTCGGTCCCCCCGTGTGGTTCTGGGATTTTTGCTCACCGTTCTTGTGATCATTTTGACCCCACGGGTGAGATCTTGCGTGGAGCCCCAGATCGAGGGAGATTATCAGTGGTCTTGTATGTCTTCCATTTTCTAATAATTGCTCCCACAGTTGATTTCTTCACACAAGCTGCTTACCTATTGCAGATTCAGTCTTCCCAGCCTGGTGCAGGTCTACCATTTAGTTTCTGGTGTCCTTTGACAGCTCTTTGGTCTTGGCCATAGTGGAATTTGGAGTGTGACTGTTTGAGGTTGTGGACAGGTGTCTTTTATACGGATAACGAGTTCAAAGAGGTGCCATTAATACAGTTAACGAGTGGAGGACGGAGGAGGCTCTTAAAGAAGAAGTTACAGGTCTGTGAGAGCCAGAAATCTTGTTTGTTTGGAGGTGACCAAATACTTATTTTACCAATTCATTCATTAAAAATCCTACAATGTGATTTCCTGGATTCTTTCCCCCATTCTGTCTCTCATAGTTGAAGTGTACATGGATGAAGATTACAGGCCTCTCATCTTTTTAAGTGGGAGAACTTGCACAATTGGTGGCTGACTAAATACTTGTTTGCCCCACTGTATATAACACACACAACTACAAAGGTAGAACAAAAAACACAACAGGGGACCACACTACTCTACTCTACTCTACTGTCCATATTTCCCAGCGTTGTTCACAGATCTCTGCTTTAGTCCTTAGACAGTAGGTCAGTCTTTCCAGGATAATATGTGATATTTACATTAATAAACAGAGGTGGGAAGTACTGGAGTACAAATACTTTGTTACTGTCCTTAAGTACATTTTTCTGGTATCAGTACTTTATTCCACTACTTATTTTTCTGACCACTTTTTACTTTCTACTTCTCACATGTTGAACTCAAATACCTGTACTTTCTACTTCTTAAATGTTGAACACAAATACCTGTACTTTCTACTTCTAACATGTTGAACACAAATACCTGTACTTTCTACTTCTTACATGTTGAACACAAATACCTGTACTTTCTACTTCTCTCATGTTGAACACAAATACCTGTACTTTATACTTCTCACATGTTGAACTCAAATACCTGTACTTTATACTTCTCACATGTTGAACTCAAATACCTGTACTTTCTACTTCTTAAATGTTGAACACAAATACCTGTACTTTCTACTTCTAACATGTTGAACACAAATACCTGTACTTTCTACTTCTTACATGTTGAACACAAATACCTGTACTTTCTACTTCTCTCATGTTGAACACAAATACCTGTACTTTCTACTTCTAACATGTTGAACACAAATACCTGTACTTTCTACTTCTTACATGTTGAACACAAATACCTGTACTTTCTACTTCTTTCATGTTGAACTCAAATACCTGTACTTTCTACTTCTTACATGTTGAACTCAAATACCTGTACTTTCTACTTCTCTCATGTTGAACACAAATACCTGTACTTTCTACTTCTTACATGTTGAACTCAAATACCTGTACTTTCTACTTCTTACATGTTGAACTCAAATACCTGTACTTTCTACTTCTTACATGTTGAACTCAAATACCTGTACTTTCTACTTCTTTCATGTTGAACTCAAATACCTGTACTTTCTACTTCTTACATGTTGAACTCAAATACCTGTACTTTCTACTTCTCTCATGTTGAACACAAATACCTGTACTTTCTACTTCTCTCATGTTGAACAGAAATACCTGTACTTTCTACTTCTCTCATGTTGAACAGAAATACCTGTACTTTCTACTTCTCTCATGTTGAACACAAATACCTGTACTTTCTACTTCTCTCATGTTGAACACAAATACCTGTACTTTCTACTTCTCTCATGTTGAACAGAAATACCTGTACTTTCTACTTCTTACATGTTGAACTCAAATACCTGTACTTTCTACTTCTCTCATGTTGAACACAAATACCTGTACTTTCTACTTCTCACATGTTGAACTCAAATACCTGTACTTTCTACTTCTTACATGTTGAACTCAAATACCTGTACTTTCTACTTCTCTCATGTTGAACTCAAATACCTGTACTTTCTACTTCTCTCATGTTGAACTCAAATACCTGTACTTTCTACTTCTCTCATGTTGAACAGAAATACCTGTACTTTCTACTTCTCTCATGTTGAACACAAATACCTGTACTTTCTACTTCTCTCATGTTGAACACAAATACCTGTACTTTCTACTTCTTACATGTTGAACTCAAGTACCTGTACTTTCTACTTCTCTCATGTTGAACTCAAATACCTGTACTTTCTACTTCTCTCATGTTGAACAGAAATACCTGTACTTTCTACTTCTCTCATGTTGAACACAAATACCTGTACTTTCTACTTCTTACATGTTGAACACAAATACCTGTACTTTCTACTTCTTACATGTTGAACACAAATACCTGTACTTTCTACTTCTAACATGTTGAACACAAATACCTGTACTTTCTACTTCTTACATGTTGAACTCAAATACCTGTACTTTCTACTTCTTACATGTTGAACACAAATACCTGTACTTTCTACTTCTAACATGTTGAACACAAATACCTGTACTTTCTACTTCTTACATGTTGAACTCAAATACCTGTACTTTCTACTTCT